TTGTGGGGATGAGATGAAACAGGCTCCAGAAGTGGGCAGAATTGAGTAAGGATTAAAAAAAGGAAAAGAGAAAATGAAAAAGACTTGAGGGAGAAAGGAAGAAATGGGAGTTTGGGGGGCAGGAGACAAATCAGGAGAGGAAGTTAGAGTCAGTGTGCGGGGATGAAGGGGAGGCAGCACACCTAGCCCTGGGCAGATCTCTCACGGCGTGACCTGCAGAGCTGCAGAAGAAATGCAGTCCCCTGACTGTGAAGAAGCAAGAGTCAGACCCCTTGAATTAACTGAGTGACCTGCGGGGACAGCTCCCTTTCTGCCATCCCCCTAAGGTCCACTGTGCTGGAGACAGTAATGTCACATCGGCCTGGCTTTCACCACCCTCAACATCTTTTTCTAAAAGCCTAATTTCCAGAATATTTGTGAATCACATTGTTTTTTTGTTGCTGAAGTTAAACTTTTTAAAATTTATAAATGAAATTGATCTGGTACATGCATTCGGATAGCTTTGTGAGGTTTAAACACAGTGTAGTTGTATATTTCAATGACTACATGTCCCTGTACTTGGTTCAGACCTTGCGTTCTCAAGAGCATCCACACTGCCTTCGCACTTTGTGAGTGAGGCACTCTGGGGAATTTAGAAGCCATGGTCCTGACCCACAAGGAACTTAACTTTTACTTGGCAGCACAAAGCTGAGGCATGCAATGACGACACAAAAATTAACATTAAATTATGCAATTGACTTCACTTTACTGAAGATTGTGAATCACGTCTCTTGTTTTTCTGTGTTGTTTTTAACCATCAGCCCAGATCAATAGGTATTACTTCCTGAAAGCCAGCTTCTTTCCCAAGTGCTTAGCAAGCACTGGAACAATCATAAGTCACATTTTATCTTAATGTGTGAAGGCAGAGACACTTTTCAGTTCAGACTGTTGACTTGAGCTTGGTGTTTTTTTCTTTTCACTTTGCCAAGTTTATATACCTAATTTTTGTTCTTGTATCTGTTTCTTATTCCTAGAATGACTAGTCTGTGCACATGCTGCATAAGACCTCAGACACAGGCCTTGCAGCAGGCCTCTTTCCCAGGCTGGCTCTTCCTAGGGTAGACTGCAGTCCTGGTGTGTACTTCCTAAGCAGTAGCTAAGGGACAGCTGTTGGGAATGGGATAGATGGAGCTTACATGGAGTTTGGACCTTTCGCTCCACATGCATACACGTGAAGCCCCTGATGGTATAGACTGAGCCAGAGGTCAGAAAAGACTTAATACGTGCAGGAACCTCCCCTGTCACAGGCCACACAAGCATTAGGGGCAGCCTAATTATTGTCTTTTTTTTCTTTATATTCCTGGTACAGTGCTGGTAGGTGACTCTTCAGCTACTCTTAGGGATTCTTAAGGATAAGGGCTTTAGCTTTGTATTTTTATATTCCCATGTGCCTATCACAGTGTCTATCCAACACACAGTGAATATGCAATACACATTTGTTGAATTAAGTAATGAATGCAACTTATATTGAACATTTTATAATTATCTCATCTCCTTTATTGTCATTTTAAAGAGTTTATGGTAATGTTTGTATGATTTTATGTGTTAGGGCCAACATTTTTACATAAAAACATATCTCTAATTTTGTATTACCATTAAATGCGAAAATTAGACATATATAAAACAGAATTTTTACAAATTCATTTCCTGCAATGAGATAAGTTAATGGCAGATTGGTGTTATCAGCACCGCACTCTCCCGAGTGAGCCACGGGCCGGCCCAGCAGGGTATGATTTTAAAGGCTAACATTCTCCCTGCCTTTCGTTTGTCACGACAGGTCCTATGGTCATTTATGAATTATGTTGACTTCCCCTTTGGATTTCTTGAGAGGAAGAGGTTTGCTGAACACCGGGAACTTCCTTACTTCTGTCCCAAGGACGGTTTTTAGGTTTGTTCTACACTGGAGTGGAAAGAGACATCGCCCCAATTTGGCCACAGGAAGCATTTTTGTCCATGCGCTTCGTCGACTTGAATCACATTCACTTTATGGTCACGTTTGCTCTGGCAGCCATTCCCCCCTTAACCCACTCACTTTGCCACCAACCCACTCTTCTTTCTTTTCTTTTCTTTTCTTTTTTTTCTAAAAAGATGACCGGTAAGGGGATCTTTACCCTTGACTTGGTGTCGTCAGCACCACGCTCAGCCAGTGAGCGAACCGGCCATCCCTATGTGGGATCCGAACCCGGGGCCTTGGTGTTATCAGCACCGCACTCTCCCGAGTGAGCCACGGGCCGGCCCGAAAATCTTTTATTTAAAAAAATTTTATTTTGTTTCATAGGATTCACAAGGAGAAAATATTGATATTACAGATTATTGTAGCATCACAGTCACCAGGACAACAGTGCTTATGACCAGTTATAACATATTAGTAACTGCCAAGCCTTAAGGGACTCTGGATACAAGTGTGAGAAGGAGCCGAACTAAGTTCTGGAAAACTAAAAGATGCTGGGAAGAGTGGGACTGAGTTTATCTGCCAGGTTTCTCATGAATTCTGAGGGTAACCCCAAGATCCGTAGGCCCCAGATCTCCTACTGAGATCGTTTGTAAAGAGTGTGTGAGTGATGACTTTTGATGTAAAGAGTGTGTGAGTGATGACTGTTGATACAAAAAGCATATAATTATTTTAAGTTAGAGTAATTTTTAAACACCGCAGTAGCTTGTTTTAACTTTATGACAGTAGTTTATATGCTGTATGTTGCCCCTCCCTCTCCAAAGTTCAGTGACTTTTAAAGTGAGAACCCATCTAAAATGTTGCCAGTACACCTTCTTTGGATGCTATTTTAGCACATTTACCATGTTGTAGTGAGAAATATTCTGATCTGAGAACTGAGTAAACTGGACTTGGGTGACCCTTAAATTACATCAAACTCACACATTCTATGACTCTTAAGTTTGCTGCTTGAATAATAGTCTATTTGTGATTCCACTGGGAGGTAACAAAGAGTTAAGCCATGGTGATAATTTGAGTTTTATACTTTAACTGTCAGGATTCATACTGTTTTATCAGTTTTTTGTTTGTTTGTTTTTGAGAGATTATTTTTTCCATGTTCTCCTTCTATCCTTAACATTTTTAGGCATAATAAAGTGAACTCATTCCAATCCTCTTCTAGGTGGGACTTGTCTTTCAGGAACACCTCATTAAAGGTATTAATATCAAAGCAGTGACCTTTATGAGCCATCGTGTACTATCTGATTGTTGTGCCATCACAAGGCATGATTAAAACCATCTAATGACATTGTTATAATATTTCTATGATGAAATTGCCATAGGCCAGACAGTAGGGATCCTCTGGCTTTTGGAGGAAGTATTTTGTTTCATAAACAGTTTAAATTGTTTCTGCCATCTAGAAAATAGTTCCTCTTACACAAGGAGATTTAAAAATGTCTTCAGTTTTCTTAATTTAGTGTAGTAATGACACTTGGAGCTATTTTGCCTTCAAGTAATTTTCCCAGCACTTCTGAAGATACGGGCAGACCTGGTTCACGAATGTCACTTCCCACTCACTCCTGCTGCTACGTCAGCCCCACCTCTTCCCATATGCATGTTTATTATTTCCTTCTGCATTCAGGAAACCTTTTTTCTAAGTGGCTTAAGGTGGAATTGTTAAAAAAGAGGGTTTGAGATTCACACGGTGCCTAAAAAGCAAAACAAGCAGAAAAAAAAAGTAGTTAGCATGAAAATGTCATATGTACTGTTCCTCTACCTCCAAGGCAGGGGAAAGGGGCTGACTCACCTTCCTTTCTTGTCTGTTCTTTTTTGGACTCTGGCTTCTTTTCACTAAGGTCACTCTTGAATGTGAATGTATATGTTGGGGGTGGGGGCAGCAATGGGGAGAAAGGGTTCAGTCAGCAAGGAACAGAAGCGCTAAGTAGAATACTGAGCAGAGATGAGCGAGACAACAAATGGAATGGAAGCAAGAAAGTACTTTTCAGTCATCCTTACAATTAAAGTCAGAATCAGAGTATTAGAACTGGAAGTGATCCTATCTTTACATTATCTTAACCTAACAGATGCTCAATAAATGCATATGAACTAAAACTAATCTACTCATCTTACAGAAGAGGAAATGGAATCCCACAAAGTTTGGTACTGCACAGGGCCATTCAGCTAGCTAGTTGTAGAGCTTGGCCGGAACCCATGTCCTCTGATTCCTCAACCAATTCCTTTTCTATTAAAAGATACTATAATGGCTATTTTCCTTTTTGTGTTTCCAACACTTGGCAAAGAGTAGGAATGACACTTACTGCATCTGTTTTTTTTTTTTTTTTGTCTTTTGTCTTTTTCCGTGTCCGGCAACGGATCGCAACCCTAAGTGTTGCCCCCGTACCGGACCGGGGACCAGCAACGGGATTGCAACCCTCGGTGATGCTCCCGCGCCTCGCTCAGCCAGTGAGCGGGAACCGGTCTGCATGTGGGATCCGAACCCTCGGGCGGGAGCGCCGCCACGCTTCCCAAGCGGCGCACTTATCCAGTGCGCCACCCGGCCAGCCCAACTTACTGCATCTGTTAATGAGTGGCAATCTAGTGGAAAAAGTATGGATTTTGGAGACAGACCTGGATCTAAATTTCAGCTTTGCCTGTTTGCACTTGGGCAACTTTCTTAATATTTCTAAGCTGAGGCTTTCATATTTCAATAAATGTGGCAATAATAGCTACCATATAATGTTGTTACAGCAATTAAATGAAAAAAGCTTACTTAGTACAGTATGTGGCACAAATCAGAGGCTTCAGTAAATATTTGTAAAATGAGTAAATGTTTACTATTACTATATTTGATCTCCCTCATAGAGAGTCAGCATATCTTTTAGAAGGTAAGCCAATTTACCTTTTAGGTGTGTCATATTCTCTACAGATATGTATACTTATTTGCCGTAGTTAAACTGCTGTTTGGCTGATTTCTTTTTGTCTTAGAAAATGTCTGTTTCACATTCCTTACAGGCTTTTAACTTTTTAATTCCAGATTAATCCATGGAGGACAGATGTTAAATGGACTGGCAGGTCCAACTGTAATGAATGCAGCGCCGTTTCTGTCCACAACCTGGTTTTCTGCAGACGAACGGGCCACTGCCACAGCTATTGCCTCGATGCTCAGTTATCTGGGTGGGGCGTGTGCATTTTTAGTTGGACCCCTTCTTGTTCCAGCTCCCAATGGGACATCACCTTTTCTGGCTTCAGAGAGTAGCAGGATTCATATTAAAGATCGCATAGAGACTGTATTATATGCAGGTAATTTGAAGTTTATTTTCTTCTTGTTATACTTTGTCTTTTATCCAATTATCCTCCCCTCTTTTCGTATACCAGATCACTTCACGTGAAATGCTTAAGAGGACCAGTATAAACATATGACGTGTGCACATAATGTCCTTTCCTGGTTGTAGAATGTGGAGATGCCTGTTTAAAACTTATGCCCTTTTTAGGAAGTTATTAAATTTACAGTGTATTATTGCTACATGGAAGGTTATTTCTTAATTTTACTCTTCTCATCCATTTACAATTAAGCACTGTATAACATTTCCTAGTATCTTCTTTAGATATCAGTATGTAAAACTAAATGTCATTATTGACAATAAACGTTTGTTAAGTATCTATTGGAAGGCGTTGAGCCCATTTTCTCCCTTGCAGTTTCCCCATTATTGGCCATGTTCTCTAACCTTGTTAACGTCGAACACCTACAGTTATTCTTCTTTACATTTTCTACTCTCTATGTTTAGTTTATTAATCAGGGACGTTGATCTTTCCAAAACATTCTCTTGGATCCTTTCTCTTTTTATTTCTAGAGTCAGGTCCTAGTCCATTCTTACATTAAAGCCTCCTACAGATCTCCTTAAATATATTTCTCTTCATACTTATTATTTCCTTCTCCATTCAGAAAACTTTTTATGAGCATTTACTATTTGTGTTTACTGTGCTAAGCACTGGGAATTGGTAAGATCAATGATGAAGCTATTATAATACCAATAGAGAAATACAGAGGTTGGGAGACCTAACTTGCCTGGGTTTCGAGAGAAGTTGAAGGGTCAGGGAAGGCTTCCCCAAGAATGTAATAATTAAACAAAATTAAGAATTTCATAGGAGTTCACTGAGTGTTTGAGTGGATTAGGGTATTCCATACAGAGGGGACAGCAACTGCAAAGGTGGGGAAGGTATGAGAGAGCTCAGTATATCCAGGGAACTGCCCATAATTTTGGTATGGCTGGAGTGGTGTAAATGTGTACATTTGGGTGTAGGTAGCAAGTAGCAGGAGATGAGGCTGGAAAGATAAGGGACCAGATTATGATGAACTTTGTATTTATTCACTTATTTAATGTATTTTGAGCTCTTGTGTATCTGTCACTGAGGTAGACGTGGTTCCTGCTCTAACAGAACTTATAGTGTTCTGAAGGATACAGACAGGTAAACAAGCAGTTGTAAGACAGAGTGGTGGATGCTATAACCAAAGGCCCACAATTGCTCTGAGAGCTCAGAATGGCACCTAACTCAGATTTTGAGGTGAAGTAGAACTTCCTGGAGATGCAGCATCTGTGTTAGAACCTGAGGGATGAGAGAGAGTTAGCCAAATATAGTCGGCAGGAAGAATGTACTAGAGAGAGAAAACCATGGAGGAGAAGACCAGTAAAGGGAGATACCAGGTACATTAAAGCAACTGAAAGCTCAGAGTGGCTTAGATCTGGTGAGAGAAGTGCCAGGTGAAGCTAGAGAGGGAAGCCAGGCTGTGCAGGCCTTCTAAGCAGCTAAAGAGTTTGAAGTTCACAAAGACCACACTCTGAGGAGCTGTATGTCAGAGAGTTACATGATGAGGTTTACATTTCAAAATATGGTTAAGAGGGAATAAAGCTGAAAGCAGGGGCGGCAGCAGTAGTATATAAAGCATTTAACCCCCCTGTAGATGACTCATTCATTTAAGGAAAAAATTGAAATTAAAAATAAGTAAAACTGAAAGAAGGCAAAACTAATTTTTGAACTCTATTTTGGTCATATCATTCTTTTTATTGAAAACCTCGGCAATGATTGTCTTTTAAATGACTGGGGTTTAGGCACTATTAAGCATGTATTCATGCTCTACATCTTTCTGGCTTATGGTTCCCATGCACTCAAGCAGAAGCCCCTTATTCAAAGCTTCCCAGTTACTTCTTCAGTGCTATCATATTTGCCAGTCTGCATTTCAGAAGTACTGTCCCATGACTCTCCACTTCATTAAAAACACTTCACTAGAATCACTTCCTTAAAAGGTTAAAGACTCTTAAAGTATTCTAGATAAAGGCACCCTAAGAAAAGTAAACTACGGACCAATGGCTCTTATGAATATTGAAGCAAAATTACTGAATGAAATACAAGTGAACCACATCTAGCAATATATAAAAAGGATGATATACCATGATCAAGTGGGATTTATTCCAGGAATGTAAGTTTGGTTTAACATTCAAAACCCATTAATGTAATATAACATATCAGTAGAATAAAGAGGGAAAACCATGTGACCAACTTAATAGATGAAGAAAAAGCATTTGACAAATCCAACTCCCTTTCAAGATAAAAACAGTCAACAAAGTAGGAATTAGACAGGAGCTCCCTCAACCTAATAAAAGAATAAAGAGGGAAAACCATGTGACCAACTTAATAGATGAAGAAAAAGCATTTGACAAATCCTACTCCCTTTCAAGATAAAAACAGTCAACAAAGTAGGAATTAGACAGGAGCTCCCTCAACCTAATAAAAAGCATCTGTGAAAAACTCACAGGTAACATCATACTTAATGGTCAAAGAGTAAATACATTCCCCCTGAGATCATGAACAAGAGAAGGATGTCCACTCTTACCATACCTATTTAACATTGTGCTGGAAGTTCTAGCCAGCATCACTGAGCAAGAAAAAGAAATAAAAGGTATCCTGATTGGAAAAAAAGAAGTAAAAAAAAATCTCTATTGAAAATGATGTGATGTCAAATATAGAAAATTTTCTGCAATCTGCTAAAAAACTATTAGATCTAAAAAACGAGCTCAGCAAGGTTTTATGATACAAGATGAATAAATAAAAATAAATTGTATTTCTATACATTAGCGATAAGCAATCCAAACATGAAATTAGAAAAGCAATTTAATTTACAATAACATCAAAAAGAATAAAATATTTAGGAATGCATGTAACAAATGAAGTGCAAAACTTCTACTCTGAAGATTACAAAACGCTGTTGAAAGAAATTAAAGAAGACCTAAAAAAATGGAAAGACATGCAATGTTCATGGGTTGGAAAGTTTAATATTGTGAGGGTATCCCAAAGTTACTTACAAATTCAGCACAATCCTTACTAAAATTCCAGCTGCCTTTGTTGCAGAAATTGACAAGCTGATTCTAAGATTCATATGGAAATGCAAGGGACCAAAAAATAGCCAAAACAATCTTGAAAAAGAACAAAACTGAAGAACTCATACTTCTCAATTTCAAAACTTATTTTACAAAGCTACACTAATCAAGACAGGATGGTGCTGGCATAAGGATAGATAAAAGTACCAAGATAATTCAGTTGGGGAAAAAATAGTTCTTTTCAATAAACAATACTGGAACAACTGGATATCCACATGCAAAAGAATGAATTTGAACCCCTTCCTTACACCATAAACAAAAATTAGCTCAAACCTAAATGTGAGATTGTAAACCTAAATGTAAGAGCAATCCCATTTCTAGGTATATACCCAAGTGAAATGAAAACATACATCCATGTAAGAATTTGTACATGAATGTTCATAACAGGATTATTTATAATAGCCAAAAAGTGGAAACAACCCAAATGTTAATCAACTGATAATTGGATAAATAAAATGTATCTTCATAACAATGGAATATTATTTGACAATAAAAAAGAACAAAATACTGTTACATGCTCCAGCATGGATGACCCTTGAGATTATTATGGTAAGTGAAAGAAACCAGTCACAAAAGACCACATATTGTTTGGTTTCAGAAATTCAATAATACTGAAATTCATGACGATTGAAAGCAGATGAGTGGTTGCCTAGGGCTGGGAGATTTGGAAGTAATGGTTACAGGGCTTCTTTTGTGAATGATAAATAATTCTAAACTTGATTGTGGTGATGGTTGCACAATTCTAGGAATATACTAAAAACCATTGGATTGTGCTCTTTAAATGTGTGAGTTGTATGTTGTGTGAATTATATGGCAGTGAAGCTGTTTACAAAAATGCTGATAGAAAGATTGCCAAAGAATATGAACACGGCAATCACAAAAGAAGAAATACAAATGGCCAATAAGTATATGGAAGATGCTCATTCAGTGTTAACTAATAATTAAAAGAATTATAAATGAAAAAAATTCATTAACTACTTGTTGCTCCTCAGATTGACAAAGAATAAAGAGATTGAGATACCAAAAACAACAAACAAACAAAAAACAGAATCTTTAAACACATTTCTTTAAGAATTAGGAATCCATTAATTTCTAATTGAATTAAAATTATCTGTGGCTAAATGTCTTATAGGAACGTTGTCATTTTTGCTAGAATATAACCCCCAGAATTAGAATTATCCTGCTGAAAGGCCCTCTAGAAATCACTAAATCCAGTCCCTTTAGTAGCCCAGAAAGAGTAAGGGATCTGCCCAAATTACAAGTTAGTTAATGGCATAGGCAGGTCTATACTCTAAGTTTCCAATTTTTCTTTTCTACTAAATTGGGCACAGTTAACAAAAGCCTGAACTCCCAAGTGCAAAAACTGGAGAGAAGGATCTGGATGCCTAGGAACCTTCCCTTCTGTAATGGGGCCAAACTAAGATAGCTTGGATGTTCGTTTTACTTTTGATTGTTTAATACTCTACATTAGCTAGTCTTGTGTTTAAGTTTTGCTCTCAATGGCTTGGTTTCTTATTTTTGGATGCTTTCTAGTGTCATTCAAATTTCCCATGCAGCCTGTAAATTGGGTTTCTCCTACACTATGCATCAAAATATGCTATTGTTGATCAAACAAACCTCCTATCCTGCTCTTACCTATTTTCTCTATCATATTCTTTCTTCCTATCACACTTATTAGACAATCATCCTAGACCTGTTTCAAAATCTCTTTTATAGTAAGATGCTGTTGCTTTTTAATGTGTTTTCTCTGTAGAGTACCATTTGTTTACCCCTCAGTCTTTTTGTCTCTGTAATTTACCATAGTACCACCATACTTCTTTGTTTATAGTATGATTTCTTACCTATGAGCTGCTGAAATTTACATCTTTACATATCTATCTTTCTCGCTAGACTTAGCTATCTTGGGTAGGTACTATATTTTGGTTATCTAAGGCTCATGTTTTCTTCACTGCTGTATCCTCAGTTCTGCATTATTTATATGCCTAGGGCTTGGTTGATGCTCAATAAATATTTGTTGGATAAATAAATACTTGAAGTATTCAGCTTTATATGCCTAGGGCTTGGTTGATGCTCAATAAATATTTGTTGGATAAATAAATACTTGACGTATTCAGCTTTTTTTTTTTTTTCCTTTTTGTCTTTTTTTCGTGACCGGCAACGGATCGCAACCCTCAGTGTCGCGCCCGTACCGGACCGGGACCGGCCACGGGATCGCAACCCTCAGTGTTGCTCCCACCCCTCGCTCAGCCAGTGAGCGGCCGGTCTGTATGTGGGATCCGAACCCTCGGTGGGAGCGCCACCGCACTTCCCAAGTGGCGCACTACAGCAGTGCGCCACCGGGCCGGCCCGAAGTATTCAGCTTTTTGTGTTGCTTGGTTAACCTTTTACTTTTTTTTCTTTCAGAATTTGGAGTTGTCTGCTTAATATTTTCTGCAACACTGGCTTATTTCCCACCCCGGCCTCCTCTTCCCCCCAGTGTTGCTGCAGCTAGCCAGCGACTGAGTTATCGGCGGAGCATTTGTAGATTATTAAGGTAAATATACTTAACAACGGTTGGTTGGTTTTAACTAGCACCTTCAAGACAATTTCACATTTTTAATGATAATTTAAGATAGTAGTTTCTCAGCAACTTATTAATTAGGTTGTAAATAATTGATAAATTACTGATTAGATATTTTAGACTTCCTATTAGAAATCTATCTTGAAAAATCACCAAAAACAAAAACCTCCATAATTTTTGCCTTTATATACCACCTATATTTATTATTAATATTTTTAAAATCAATTTTTTTTCCTTAGATAATTTTCTTTTTTCTTTTTTTTTTTTTTCCCTTTTTGTCTTTTTTCGTGTCCGGCAACGGATCGCAACCCTCAGTGTTGCGCCCGTACCGGACCGGGACCGGCAATGGGATCGCAACCCTCGGTGTTGCTCCCACACCTCGCTCAGCCAGTGAGCGGGAACCGGTCTGTATGTGGGATCCAAACCCTCGCGGGAGCGCCACCGTGCTCCCAAGCGGCGCACTGTAGCAGTGCGCCACCGGGCCAGCCCCATTAGATAATTTTCTTGGATAAAGAAACTCATATCACACAAGTGTCTGTGAAATCACTGGTTTTATGTGTTTATTATATTATTCCTAATATGAAAGTTATTTTTATTCATTCTGTATTTGTTAAGGCACATTAAAATAAACAGGTGCAAGTCAATACAAAGTAAATAAAATAAATAATGTTCACATGTCACCTAAAATCATCTCATGTACCACCAGTACATGAGATCATACGTTGAAAAACTTAATATATTATTTTATTTTATTGGTATAACTTAAATGTAGTTAGATTAAATTCTACTCCTGACGTCTCAAATGCCCCAGTACTGAGTTTGCTTCTTTGGGTGTATAGAACATCACTACTATTGATTATGATTTGCAATTGGTCCACTAGAACTTATCTTCTGAATTTTTTCTCATTTAGTTGTGATAAGTTTTAGTAATTCATCAGCAACTCTCTCTAGTTGGTTCTTTCTTTTCTTATTGTTCTTCTCCCATCAGATGGTAAGTTCCTTGTGGTAGAAAACTGTGTCTTTCTATCCTCTATGGTACTATTGTCCAGTAGGAATAGCCACATATGTAATCTTAAATTTTCTATTGGCCACATTTTTGAAAAAAGGTAAAAAGAAACAAGTAAAACTAATTTTAGTAGCATATTTTATTTAACCCAATATATCTAAAATATTATAATTTTTAACATGTCATCAATGTTAAAAATTATTAATGAGATATTTTACATTTTCTTATTCATATAAAATCTTTGATATCTAATATGTATTTTCCACTTATAGCACATCTGAATTCAGACACTAAATTTTCACTGATAATACTTGATCTATATTTTGATTTCACAACATTTACAGTTGAAAAAGTATTCACTTAGTCTCTCTCATATTGCACTGTTTATCTAAAGTTAAAAATAAGTAATTGCAATTTTTTCTAATTTCGAATCAACAGATCTTTTATATTATTAGAAAAGTCTTATATTCTACAGGCCATTATTTGGGTCTTAATTAAAGATATGTCACTTGCATAGAATATATTTTTTAGTCTTTTCTCTTAATTTTTAACAGAATTTCCATAGCTAAAATAATAATCTATTTTTCCATCTCTCCACCCAAAATGTTTTTCTTTTTGTGCAAGAATCCAAACCATTTTATAGCTAGCCATAAGTTATAAATTCAGATCTGTTAAAAATCATTTAAATGTTTGCTGTGCATTTAATTCTGATTTCAGGTAACTAATTTTCTTGAATCTTTTTTGACCAGTGAAAAGAAACTTCATATAAAATTCACTATAAATTTGCTGAAAATGTCTCTTAATGCTTCCCACTTAATTGTCTTAAAAATTTTTTTCCACAGCAGACATTTCATTTTACTCTGCTGCAGCAAATCACAATTGCCATTCATTATGAAATTTGCAACATGCCATCTTCCATTTCAGTCTCTTATTTTCTTTCTACATGAAATATTCAAATAAGCAAATTACAATGTCACATCAGTGTGTAGAAAAAGTAATTAAAACTGAATCAATTCATTGACACCAAGAAGATCAGTGACATGATACTTGAAACAATACACGCATAGGTGTGCACACTGTGATAATATCTTACGCATTGCAGCTGTTACAGTGAAATGTAGTCCTACCAAAAAAATAATATTGTGTTTAATGGAAAAGTACTTTTCACTGCTTCTGTTTTTAAATTTAGACTTAAATTAGTTAAAATAAATAAAATTAAAAACTCAGTTTCTCAGTTGCACTAACCACATTTCAAATGCTGTATAACATTATTTTTCAAATGTTGGTTCACAGCCAACTAGTTTAGTGGATTGATCACCATTTTTTTAAAACAAAGTAGAGTAAAATAGAATAGAAAATATTATTGTATTATTGCATCACATGTAGTAAGGATACATATTTTTTGTGAGACTTTTATTTCAGTATATGTATGTATATATGGGTAGGTCACAAAATAAAAATAAATTTCTTACTCTGGGGTACAGTAAAATTTTTTGAAAACCACTTCTCTGCAGCACCTAATACATTGCCTTTCACATGGTAGGTAAAGAAAAAATATTAGTTAAATTGAATTGTGATCAGTGGCACACATTTGTAAGATGACAGTTTAAAATGATAATTTAAAAAATGCTATTTCACTATATTTTTCTTTATGCAAAGCCAGCTGCAGAGGTTAGGTAACAATAGATAAAGCTAGAGAGGAAGGTTGAGGCCATATAATGCCATACTAATAATTTTGGACTATTCTGTGGGAAATTGAAGGCATTTAAGCTAATGAATTACATATAAGATTGTTCTGACAAGGAAAAACAATAACTTAAAATTATCACTCTGACCACAATATACGTCTGTTTACTTCTAATTACCTCTAGAGTCAAGACCTTCATTCTTATTTAAACTGTGAAGTATAATATCTTTCCTCTCTATCAAAATCCCTTTTTACCAATGCCTAACATTCCTGTGTCTCTTCCTATATCTGTCTGTTCACTCTGCACAATTGCCTGCTTCTCTGCCTGTGGGCTCTCCATGGCAGTTCTATGGGCCCGCCATGCCCCATCCTTCTAGCCTACCAATGTAATTTTTTCTGGTCTTTCAAAGAACTCCTGAAATCACAATCTCTTGGGTTAATCAGAATAACTGCCTCTCTAGATCCTAATTCCACTGCCTGGACAAAAATACCCGTCAGTGATTATGTTCCCAGGTTGCAATTATTTATTTACCGTCATGACTCCCTTCTCTTAATATGCTTTTAACATATATAACCTAATATATACATTTCTCTTCTTTTATATATTAGTTTTTTTTGTTTTTTTTTTTTTAAAGATGACCGGTAAGGGGATCTCAACCCTTGGCTTGGTGTTGTCAGCACCATGCTCAGCCAGTGAGCGAACCGGCCATCCCTATATAGGGATCCGAACCCATGGCCTTGGTGTTATCAGCACCACACTCTACCGAGTGAGCCACGGGCCGGCCCTTATATATTAGTTTAATGTTTGATGATGGTTGTTGTTTTTGCCTTTTAGACTTCAAGACTAGAGAGTTGAATTAAACATGTTCCTTAATTCAAGGCACATGAACACGTTTATTTATTTTTCATTAATTCTTTCGTTTATATTTCCTATTCCCGTTTCCCTTCCTCTACCCAGGCTCAGATGCCTTTCATGTGTATCTCTGTGCTTTTATAATATGTGTTATTGTTTTAGATGCAATCTATGTTTAATTTATCTAAATTATGGCATATTATGTATCTCATTCTGTTTGACTTTTTTTTTTTTTTTTT